CCTACAATTTTCACTGATAGCCAAAGTGCTTTACTTTTATGCAAAAATCCAGTTTATCATGAAAGGTCGAAGCATATTGAGGTAAAGTATCATTTTATACGTGAGAAAATTGCATGTGATGAGATTATACTTGAAAAAATTCATACTGATTTGAATCCATCTGATATGGGAACTAAAATTCTACCTTTGAATAAATTTAGAATTTGACTATCTTTATTGCATATTGACACTAGTTAACCTTTTTTTGCAGGTACTTGGGCGATGACGTAGGGTAATGTTTCCCGTCCTATGCATTGTAGCAACTAGAGAGACTAAGGGATTTTAAGAACCAAGGTGAAGATTGTAAGTTGTGGTTATTAAAACCCTTTAAGTGAAAATACGTTTTTTACTTGGTTGGCCTATCCACTTGGCACTTGCTTACTGGCCCATTTGATAACTCTCGGTTCTGTGCCTGTTGGGGCTCACTTGGACCATTGGATTTTATCTATGGCTGAGGATTGGGGTATATATAACCCCTTAGGGCTATTGTACCATCACTTTCTTTATGCCTATGGCATCTGGTTCTTCAAGTGATTCTTTCTCTCTTTCAGAGGCGATTTCAAAGGGTTTCTTCGATAGTTTTCATTAAAACCTTGAGTTGTAATTAGATTATTGGCTTGTATTGTTGGGTCAAGTCTAAGCCTTGATGGTTGTGTGATTATAGTGGCCATTTACAGTGTTTTAGGTGAACAAATATAACCGGTAAATCTGTATTTCTTGATAGGCTATGAAGTTACTGATTTTGTATAGATTAGCTTGATTTGGGAGATCCGTTTGTGGATCGATAATGGTCCGAATCTGAGTCTTGGTTGTATAAAATGTTGTAGTTCTCTCTTGGAAGGTTCTTTGCATAGTAACAGGCTCGAGTTACCTCTGAGCCCCTCAGATTAGGCATTGCCGAACTGGGTGAACATTTTTTACATTATTTCGTTTTTGTAGTTTTTATTTCTTGACCGTTTGATTTGGTTTGTGTGCATTCTTGGGTATTCGAACCCAACAGTTGCTTTCTTCCTCAATAATTCCCAATCATTCTTCATTTCAACGAAATTTGAATAAAAAGGGACCTTTTTGGGAGGATATCAGGACCTATAACAATAGCCCATGTTGAAAAAAAAAAAACAAAGAAAGAAAGAAAAACTATAATATAACATTAAAAATCTAATCTTCTCTATTTTGAAAGGATTTGAACAAAAGGAACCTTTTCGCGAGGATAGCAAAAACTACAACGAAAGCCAATTTCAGAAATTCAAAAAATCAGCATACCCAAAATCTTAAACTAGAGCATAATACAGAAACTTAAATCATTCTTACTTTTCAAATGGATGTGAACAAAATGTACCTTTTTGGGAGGAGTAGAAGATGGCGGGGCAATAATGAGAGCTGGGACTGGGAAGATGATTTTGGTGGGTTTCAAAGGTTGTTGCTTCACAGAAGATTTTTGTCGTTTGAGGTTTTGGACTGCTGCATGTGTTAAGTGAAAGGAGTGAAAATTGGTGGTGGAAATGTGTACTAGAATCTTGGGAGTATGAAGTGAGAACGGGGGCGAGAATCTATTCCCTTTCGCTTATTTTCTGGTTCGGAACGTTGTCGGAAGTTCAAATTGGCAAAGAATAAAAATTGCAGGCAACTGTTTCACCAGCTCTCGGATTTGTCCATGGGAAATTACAAAAAATAAGTTTAAAGATTGATTTTCAAAAATCAGGTTTAAATTTACTTATTCAAAAATTAGGTAATAATTTTATATTTTAATAAATATATTAATATTAAAACCCTAACTCACTTCTTTCCTCACTCTTTTCTGTCGTCTCTCTGCTGCGCCGGAAATCACATCGCCATTTCTCTCCTCAGTCTCAACTCTCTCTACCTTCCCCACCCTAACCCTAAACATTCTGACGCCGCACCCATCCCCTCATCCGGCACCAGAACCCCCTCAGTTCACTCTGCGATGAAGCCGCTGTAGAAGCGGCGCTGTGCGTGCAGTAGGACCGCCGTGTGTAGCGGAGCTCCACTCACACAGGACCACCGTTGTGGCTCCATCAGACCCTCGCCTATTCTGTGGCTCCTTCAGATTTTTCAGATCTAGAGCCTAAACCAGAAAACATGAACCGTTAGTGGTGGAGGAAGATTGGTGATTTTCCTATTTTTTTCCTGTTTTTCTGGTTTTGTTTGCAAATGGTTATGTTATAGTGGTGCTTGTTGTGGTGTGGTAGTGGTGTTGGTGGTTGTTCAGTGGTTGTTGGATGATAGTCATGCAGGTGGCTGTTGGCGGCGATGGCAGTGATGGTAGGTGTGGCGGTGATGATGGTGGTCGTGACGATGGCGTTGGTCATGCGTTTCTGTTGGTGGTGGAGGTAGTTGTTCGTGGTGTGGTGGTGGTGAGGGCGATGGTGGGATAGCGTTTGTGACCAATTATTTGGTTGATCTGTGACCAAGTATTCGTGGTGGGGTGTTTGGTGCATGTGACCAACTATTTGGTTATTGTGACTAACTATCAGTGATCTAAAAATTATATAATCTGTGATCGTAAAAAAATATGTGACCAACTAATTTGAAAATCTGTTACTGTGTGACCTATAAATTTTGAAATTTGTGACCGACAAATTAATTGTGACCTACAAATTTTTTTTATATGTGACCATTAAAAAATATGTGACCAATTAATTTGGAAATCTGTGACCTGCAAATAAACTGTGAACAATTTGTAACTATTAATTCTATAACTGTGACCTTAATATATTT